TCGGGAGGCTGAGGCGGGTGGATCACGAGGTCAAGAGATCGAGACTATCCTGGTCAACATAGTGAAACCCTGTCTCTACTAAAAATACAAAAAATCAGCTGGGCATGGTGGCGCGTGCCTGTAATCCCAGCTACTCAGGAGGCTGAGGCAGGAGAATTGCCTGAACCCAGGAGGCGGAGGTTGCAGTGAGCCGAGATCATGCCATTGCACTCCAGCCTGGGTAACAAGAGCAAAAAAACTCCATCTCAAAAAAAAAAAAAAAAAAGAATCACCTGTCTAAGAGCAAATAAATACATGGATGAGAATTATCTGCTGGGAGCCTTCAGCTTGGAATGCCGTCAGCCCCTGAGGCTCTCGGGCTGTTGGGCCCCTGGATAGATCCACTCTGCTGTTCTGTCTGGTGTCTGCCACTCAATACCTTCAGTGCTACCTGGCTGGGAGTCTCCCGACTGAGCTGGTACTTGGTATCAGTGTTTAGACAAAAACGTGTACACTGATGTCCATGGCAGCATGATTCCTAATAGACAAAAGGTGGAACCAATCTAAGTGTCCATCAACAGATAAACGGATAAATAACATTGTGGTACATCCACACAGTGGAATACTACTCAGCCATAAAAAAGAATGGAGTGTAGATTTAGGCTACAACACGCATGACCCCCAAAGCATCATGCTGAGTGAAAGAAGCCAGACTCAAACGGCCACATAGTGTACGACTGATTCTATTTTTAAAACTTGAAAACAGGGCCGGGCGCAGTGGCTCAAGCCTGTAATCCCAGCACTTTGGGAGGCCAAGGCGGGTGGATCACAAGGTCAAGAGATCAAGACCATCCTGGTCAACATGGTGAAACCTCGTCTCTACTAAAAATACAAAAAAAATTAGCTGGGCATGGTGGTGCATGCCTGTAATCCCAGCTACTCAGGAGGCTGAGGCAGGAGAATTGCCTGAACCCAGGAGGTGGAGGTTGCGGTGAGCCGAGATCACGCCATTGCACTCCAGCCTGGGTAACAAGAGCGAAACTCCATCTCAAAAAAAAAAAAAAAAAAAAAAAAATTAAAACATGGCCAGGGGTGGTGGCTCATGCCTGTAATCCCAGCACTTTGGGAGGCCGAAGCGGGCGATGACCTGAGGTCAGGAGTTCAAGACCAGTCTGGCCAACCTGGCAAAACCCTGTCTCTACTAAGAATACAAAAAGTAGCAGGGCGCAGTGGCTCAAGCCTGTAATCCCAGCACTTTGGGAGGCTCAGGTGGGAAGACTGCTTGAGCCCAGGAATTCAAGACCAGCCTGGGCAACAGTGCAAGACCCTGTCGCAACAAAAACACAGAAAGAATAGCCAGGAGTGGTGGCCCAGGCCTGTAGTAGCTACCAGCTACCTGGAGGGCTGAGGTGGGAGGATCACCTGAGCCCAAGAAGGTCGAGGCTTACAGTGAGCCGTGACTGTACCACTGCACTCCAGACTGGGCAATAGAGTAGACCCTGTCTCAAAAAACGACAAAAAAAAAAAATTAAACACATCTACCATATGAGCTAGTCATTCCACTCTTAAGTATTTACCCAAGAGGATGAAAGTATATGTTCACACAGAGACACATACCCAGATGTTCACAGCAACTTTATTTGCAGTTGTCAAAATGGAAACAACCCAAGAGTCCATCAACCAGTTAACGGATAAACAAACTGTGTCCATCCATACAAGACTGTTTATTTTCACTCCACTCTGAAAAAGAACAAACTTCTGATACAACAACACAGATGAACTTCAAAAACGTTATGTTAAGGAAAGAAACCAGACGCAAAGGCCACATGTCTGATTCCACTCTTATGAAATTTCTAGAAAAGACAAAACTGCAGAGAGCGAAAGCAGATCAGGATGTCCCTGAGGCTGGATGTGGGGGGAGCAGGGTTAATTGCAAACGAGCCTAGGGGAACTCTTTGGGGTGATATAAACATTCCAAAAAACTACACTGTGGTGAAGGATCCTCAACTCAGTAAATGTACTGAAACTTAATGATCTGGGCTAGGCACAGTGGCTCACATCTGTAAGCACTTTGGGAGGCTGAAGCGGGCAGATCACTTGGGGTCAGGAGACTTGAACTTCTGACCAACATGGCAAAACCCCGTCTCTACTAAAAATACAAAAATTAGCCGGGTGTGATAGCGTGCATCTGTGGTCCAAGCTACTCAGGAGGCTGAGGCAGAAGAATCGCTTGAACCCAGGAGGTGAAGGTTGCAGTAAGCTGAGATCGAGCCACTACACTCCAGCCTAGGGTACAGAGCAAGACTCTGTCACACACACACACACCCCCCACGTAATAAACTGATCAGTTAAAATAAATGAATTGAATGGGTGTGGTAGCTCACACCTGTAATTCCAGGGAGATATCAGAAGATCTTCCTGAGCCGGGCGCGGTGGCTCAAGCCTGTAATCCCAGCACTTTGGGAGGCTGAGGCGGGTGGATCACGAGGTCGAGAGATCGAGACCATCCTGGTCAACATGGTGAAACCCCGTCTCTACTAAAAATACAAAAAATTAGCTGGGCATGGTGGCACGTGCCTGTAATCCCAGCTACTCAGGAGGCTGAGGCAGGAGAATTGCCTGAACCCAGAAGGCGGAGGTTGCGGTGAGCCGAGATCGTGCCATTGCACTCCAGCCTGGGTAAGAAGAGCGAAACTCTGTCTCAAAAAAAAAAAAAAAAAAAAAAGATCTTCCTCTGATGGGAGGCGGAGGCGGGCTGATCACCTGATGTCAGGAGTTTGAGACCAGCCTGGCCAACAGTGAAACCTCATCTCTACTTTAAAAATACAAAAATTAGGGCCGGGCGCGGTGGCTCAAGCCTGTAATCCCAGCCCTTTGGGAGGCCGAGGCGGGTGGATCACGAGGTCGAGAGATCGAGACCATCCTGGTCAACATGGTGAAACCCCGTCTCTACTAAAAATACAAAAAAAAAAAAAATTAGCTGGGCATGGTGGCGCGTGCCTGTAATCCCAGCTACCCAGGAGGCGGAGGTTGCGGTGAGCCGAGATCGTGCCATTGCACTCCAGCCTGGGTGAAAAAGTGAGACTCTGTCTCAAAAATAAATAAATAAAAACAAAATGAGTGAATTGTATGCCATGCAATTAATTATATCTCAATAAAGCTGTTTATAAAAAAAGAGCCATGCTTTTTTTTTTTTTTTAACAGATGTGGCTCACCTCTGTAATCTCAGCACTTAGTGAGGCTGAGGCAAGAAAACTGCTTGAGCCCAGGAGTTCCAGACAACAGAGCAAGACCTTGTCTTTACAAAAAATTTTAAAATTAGCCAAGTGTGGTGGCGCACACCTGTACTCCCAGCTACTTGGGAGGCTGAGGTGGGAGGATCACTTGAGTCCAGGAGTCTGAGGCTGCAGTGAGCCTTGATGACGTCACTGCACTCCAGCCTAGGTGCCTGGGTGACAGAGCAAGAACTGCTTTCAAAAAAAAAAAAAAAAAAAAAGCCCTAGTGCCAGGTTATCCCACTCCAGTGCCCAAGGCATCCACTGTCCCTCTTCTGTCTCTTACTTGCCAATTCATATCCAGTTATCAAGCCCTAGACATTCCCTGAATGTCTCTGAAAACCCTCTGGTGTCTCCTGGCTCCCTACTTCAGGATAATCTTGCCCCACATCTACCCCAGAAGGCTGGTCACCCCTCTGGACACACACACCTTCTGGGTTCTCCCTGGTCCCTCTGGTAGACCAGATTCACTGCCTCAATCTGCCCACAGACCTAAGTCTCAAGGTGCCACTCAGCATCCTCGGGAACAGGCAGGGCTTTGCCCCCTCTGTGCCCTGACCCATCCTGTGCACGTTCCATTCCACCAGGCCTCCAAAGCCCAAATCGCACAGCCAGACCATCAGGCCATTCCCTCCAGCACTAGCCAGAGGTCCAAAATGCCACAGCACGTTAAGTATTAAATAACTTCATCATTTATCATATTGACTGAAATTATTGGCTCCTGGAAGCTCACCAGCAAGAAAAAGCCTGAATTTCCTCCTTGGCCAGACCCAGGTGGCAGGCTGGAGGAGGAGCCAGGGTGGGAGGGTCTGGCTTTGCCCAATAGGAAAGAGCAGGAGATCACACTCCCTAAGGCAGGTGTTTTTTCTGATAATCCAATACAATGCATGCACACACATATCATTAGTTATTGAAGATAACTAACTGTCATGCATATCTCGGGGTTCAGACAATCCATGCCAGGACTTGGCCATGGGGAAAGGGGGCCTCCCTCTGACCAAAGGGGTAAATTCTGTCCCCCCGTCTGAGGGCAAGACCTTTCTGTAAGTCCTTTAGCCTGTTGGGAGTGTGAATTCGGACCCCATGGAGATGGAAGGGAGGCGCCCCAAAGAAGAACCCTCTCCATGTTCTTTATAAAACCCGTGGGGTTCTCTCACCCACCTCAGGCTCCCCAGGTCCACCCCCAGCCTCTCAGGGGCCCTGGCACTCCCAGGTCTCCTCAGCTTCCCCATCTCAGGCTCCCAGATTCACCTGAGTCCCCCACCCAGAGCCTCCCACACTCTCCACTCCTCCCAGGGCACCTCAGCACGCTCTCAGGACCACCTTTAGCCACCTCGAGGCCCTTCAGCACCTCCCAGGAGCCTTAGCCTCTTCCTCAGAGCCCCCAAGATACCTCACCACCCTCAGATTGGCCACGGCCCCTGCTCAGGCCCTCTTTGCCACCCAGGCCCTTTGGCATCCCCGGTTGCCCCATGGCCCATCACAGTCAGGAGCCCCTCGGTTTCCCTTCAGACCCCCAGGATTCTCAGGTCCCTAGGGCCGCCCGCAGACGCCTGAAGGTCCTAGGGCAGCCAGCCTCCCTCCAGCAGCCCTCGGCTCCTCCAGTATCCCACGGCCCCATAAAGTCCAAATTCTCAGCGAAAGACCCTCGAGCCGTGCCAGGCCTCCCTCAGGACGCGCATGAGTCCCCACAGGTGCCCTGGGCTCCATGACAGGTGCAGGTCCATCCTGGGGGCCGGGTCTCACCTGTTCGGGCGCTCGGGGCCCGGGCCCGCGCCAAAGGCGCCGCCGCCGCCAGCACCACCGCCGCTACCGCCAGACTCCGCCATCTTCCTCCCCCCGCCGACGCGCGCTCGAGTGACGGGAGCCGCGCGCGCCGGCCCGGGAAACCGAGACGCGAAGGGCGGGGCCGGGCCAGGTCCGCGGAGGGGCGGGGCCTGGACCAGAAACCAAGGATTGGAGCGGGCCCGGAACCAGAGAGGCGTGGTCTACGGAGGGGCGGGGCGGGCCTGGGGTAATGGGCGGGGTCTGTTATGCCGAGGGGCGGGCCCAGGGCGGGGCCTGGGCTGGGGGTGAGGAATTGGCCCGGGGCCCTGGCGTGAGGGGCGGAACCAGGTCTGAAATACGGGCGCTTCTGAGCTCCGAGGGCGTGCTTTCTGTAAATAGTCGGGGCCGGAGCGGAGCCAGGACAAGTAGGTAAAGGATGGGGTTGGTTCCTGGGCTGAGGAGTGGGGCGGGGTCTGAAAAAGGGGCGGGCCCAGGGCAAGAGGAGGCGGGACAAGGGTTGGGCCTGCGGAAGAGGCGGGGCACAAGATGAAGGGCGGGGCCAGTTCTGAGAAGGGACTAGGTGAGGGTTAAGGATGAGGTGGGGGCGTGGTCGGGGGGATAGAAAGGAGAAGATGGTTCTGGGGTTGGGACAGGTCTGGGCACTGGAGGGGAGGAATCTGGGGATGGGCGTGGTCAAGAGAAGAGAGGGCCTGGTCGGCGGAAGGGCGGGGTCTGGGCGAGGGGTGGGGTCTGGTTGGAAGAGGGGTCGAGGAAGATCAGGGATGTGTGACTCGTGGGGGCGTGGGATTGGCGGGGCCTGGGGGGCGGAGCCTGATCTGATGAGGGTGGGGCCAGGCTAAGCGAGCCGCGGATCTGAGGAGATGGGACGCACACGTGCAGGTGTTAAGGAGCCTGTGAGTGTCCTGGGGAGCTGGCGGGTGTGTTCGGGGCGTTGGCTGGGAGTGGTTATAATTTGAGGCGTGGAATCAGGATAGGTGACCCAGGGAAGGGGGCCATGGGTAGGGTGGGCTGGAGGGTGAGGTGGAGCATGAAGGAATGGGTCTCTGAGCCCTGAGAACAACACCCTCTCTCTACCCGCCCTTCACACCCGGACTCCAGTTTTACCTCCTTCCTATGCCTCTCTTAGGGGCGAAACTCACCCATACCCAAGCCTCAGACTTCCCGCCCCTCATGGGTCCCCCCTCCCCTGACATACCCTCCCAGAGCCTCCACCCTCAGACCCCAATCATCTGCCCTTAGGTCCCCAAGCCTCCTGCTTCATACACCAATTCTGGTTTCTCACACTTCAAAACCTTCCACATTCAATTATCTCCCATCCTCTACTCAAATCTCAACTCCCACTCCCCCAAATCCCTGCCCGCAGATCCTTCAAACCTTACACCCCTAAAGTCCATTCCACCAGACCCAACATCCTCAGATCCCCAAACCCCAGCCAGCCATCCCAACACACTGACCTTCAGCCAGGGCTCAAAGTCCTGCATCTATAAGCCTCTATAAAACATCTAGAGCTGCCGGGCGCGGTGGCTCAAGCCTGTAATCCCAGCACTTTGGGAGGCCGAGGCGGGTGGATCACGAGGTCGAAAGATCGAGACCATCCTGGTCAACATGGTGAAACCCCGTCTCTACTAAAAATACAAAAAACTAGCTGGGCATAGTGGTGCGTGCCTGTAATCCCAGCTACTCAGGAGGCTGAGGCAGGAGAATTGCCTGAGCCCAGGAGGCGGAGGTTGCGGTGAGCCGAGATCGCGCCATTGCACTCCAGCCTGGGTAACAAGAGCGAAACTCCGTCTCAAAAAAAAAAAAAAAAAAAAAAAAAAAAAAAAAAAAAACATCTAGAGCTTTCGGGGGCATCCCTCACTCCCCAAGCCTGGTAGGGTTCAAGCTCCCAGGATCCTCTCTATAGACTGGAGCTCATTTATTCTTTTAACCACCAAGTCAGAAAACTCTGACTTGTGCAGTGTGGGGCAGAGAGCAGGGATCCAGAAGGAGCTCAAAGGCCTCTTTATAGTCAGTGCTGGAAGGAGGTGGCTATGGGGCTGGAGGACCCATAGGAGGAAGAAAGGGGGCCTGCTTGGGTGGACTTTTGCAGTTTGGACCACACTCAACCAGCATCCCCAACAGAGGGCCTGATGCAACAGAAGGTGCTCAATCGTTGCACAAAATGCTCTCAGATGACCCTATGCAAGTTGACAGATACCAAGTGCTGAAGGGCCCGGCTGACCTCTCCAATTCACAGTAAGCACTCCGCAAATGTTGAATGTGCACGTGCTTGAGCCGCCCATGTTCCGGCAAGCTCTGCACACGCACACCCCCTCATCTGCCCTTGGTCGGTCCGCCGCAGGAATCTTTGTTCCAAATGAACCACATGCAGCCATCAAACCTCGCTCAGCGGAGACCTACAGCTGACACAGCCGCCACAAATAACATCTGAAGTCAATGGTGTCCATATGCATGCATGCTTCAGAAACATCCAGATTTGACCCACATGTCAGACGCACAGACACACAGCTGAAGATAAGAAAGAAGAAGTTCTCTGGGCTCCTGGCTGTGCGCACAAGGGTAGTGTGCTGTAGACCCACTGTGCTTTGGACACACTGTGTGATCTACCCTTCCAGATCACACAGCACAGGGCAGTTGGTGCAGTGTCCCTGCGGCAGGAGCGTGCCTGGAGAGTGGCCTGTCAAAGAGAAATGAGGAAGAGGGAGAGGAGAGGGGAGGAGAATGGGTTGGAGGCAACAGGAGGGGGTTCAGGTCACAGAGGGTTTTGGGGATCATTTTTGGGGTCCTGTGTATGAAGTGAGAAAGGAGAGGGGTTTTTTCGTTGTTGTTTTGTTTTGTTTTATTTTTTGAGACAGAGTTTCACTCTTGTTACCCAGGCTGGAGTGCAATGGCATGATCTCGGCTCACCACAACCTCCATCTCCTGGGTTCAAGCAATCCTCCTGCCTCAGCCTCCTGAGTAGCTGGGACTACAGGCGTGTGCCACCATGCCCAGCTAATTTTTGTATTTTTAGTAGAGATGGAGTTTCACCATGTTGACCAGGATGGTCTCGATCTCTTGACCTCGTGATCCACTTGCCTCGGCCTCCCAAAGTGCTGGGATTATAGGCGTGAGCCACCGCGCCTCGGAGAGGGGGTTTATGAGTGGTGGTAATTACATTGCTACTGGGTATTTGTTTTGTTTTGGTTTTTTTTTTTTTTTTTTTTTTTTTTTTTTTTGAGACGGAGTTTCGCTCTTGTTACCCAGGCTGGAGTGCAATGGCGCGATCTTGGCTCACCGCAACCTCCGCCTCCTGGGTTCAGGCAATTCTCCTGCCTCAGCCTCCTGAGTAGCTGGGATTACAGGCACGCACCACCACGCCCAGCTAGTTTTTTGTATTTTTAGTAGAGACGGGGTTTCACCATGTTGACCAGGATGGTCTTGATCTCTCGACCTCGTGATCCACCCGCCTCGGCCTCCCAAAGTGCTGGGATTACAGGCTTGAGCCACTGCGCCCGGCCTTTGTTTTGGTTTTGAGATGAAGTCTTGCTCTGTGGCCCAGCCTGAAGTGCAGTGGCGTGATCTCGGCTCACTGCAACCTCCACCTCCTGGGTTCAAGTGATTCTTTTGCCTCAGCCTCCTGAGTAGCTGGGACTACAGGCATGTGCCTCTATGCCCCACTAATTTTTATTTATTTATTTATTTATTTATCTGGAGATGGAGTCTCACTCTGTCACCCAGGCTAAAGTGCTATTGTGCAATCTTGCCTCACTGCAACCTCCGCCTCCCAAGTTGAAGCGATTCTCTTGCCTCAGCGTCCCAAGTAGCTGGGACTACAGGCATGTGCCACCATGCCCAGCTAAGTTTTGTATTTTTAGTAGAGACAGTTTCACCATGTTGGACAGGCTGGTCTCGAACTCCTGACCTCAGGTAATCCACTTGCTTCAGCCTCCCAAAGTGCTGGGATTACAGACATGAGCCACTGTGCCTGGCCTAATTTTTGCATCTTTAGTAGAGATGGCGTTTCGCCATGTTGGCCAGCCTGGTCCCAAACTCCTGACCTCAAGTGATCTGCCCGCTTTGATGTCCCAAAGTGTCAGGATTACAGTGTGAGCCACCATGCCCCGCTGACACTGGTTTTAACAGTGTCAATTCAACAGTGTTACAGTGTCTGACAATTGGGGGGCAATATCTTGAATTTGGGACATGAGTTAGGAGGCCTATAATCCAGGGGAAAAATGGGCTGGGCTCATCTCAGTGTGGTGGACTTGGAGGGGGTGGGAGGTAGTCCCTGCTAAGATACACTTTGCAGGTGGGACCAAACAGAGACGGAACAGATGGGATATCGAGTAAGGCAGAGTGAGGCCAGTGACCTCTGCCAGCGCTCTTGGCCTGAGCCCTGGTGGCCGCCATCACTGGGATGGGGCGGAGACCAGCGGGGGACCTGGAAGGCCCACACCGGTGACTGCACATGCCCCATCCAATAAGGATGGCCTGTGGTCTGGCAGAGCCGGCAGGCAGGGACACAGCAGGCAGCGTCCACAGGCCTGGCCACCATCTGGCCCACAGCTGGCACGGCTCTACTAGAGGCAGGGACCACACCACCTGCTTTCCCGCTCCAGACCAGCTGCAGGGCTCACACCCCCAGGTCAGAGCTTGGAGGCCCTCCCTTACAACCCCCAGGTGTTATGGAGGAAGAAAGTGAAATCCGGGGAAGGCTTCAACTTCCTGCAGTTTTGGGCTGGGGACAGTGTCTACCCTGTCGGACGGTCACCACAGATTGGTCCTGGAGCAAGCTGGTCCCCTCATACCAACTCCCTGTCCTCAGCCCGGTTTGATTTTTCTCCCTGTCGAACAAACTTTTTGTTTTACTTTTCTTTTTAAAATTGAGATAAAGGCTGGGTGCGGTGGCTCATGCCTGTAATTCCAGCACTTTGGGAGGCCGAGGCAGGCGGATTACCTGAGGTCGGGAGTTCAAGACCAGCCTGACTAACATGTAGAAACTCCATCTCTAAAAATACAGAATTAGCCGGGTGTGGTGGCATGCACCTGTAATCCCAGCTACTCAGGAGGCTGAGGCAGGAGAATCGCTTGAACCGGGAAGGCAGAGGTTGTGGTGAACAGAGATTGTGCCATTGCACTCCAGCC